GCTTAAATTTAATTATAAAAAATTTAAAAATTCGGCAATAATTCGACATGCCGAATGACCAAATTTCGACTAGTGTCTATGATATTAATAGTTTATAGTTAAGTGTAATATAATAAATATCAATAAAAAAGTTACATCAATTGCTTATATTTCTTTATTTAATACTTTTATTATGCAAATGAAATAAGAGTATATAATCTCTTAGATATTAAAGTCTAAAAGCAAAATATATTAATTACTATAATATTATATAAAGATGTTAAATCTGGAAAATATTCTGGTACCCATATATTTTTTCTAATAAAAGGCTTCAATAACAAGTATCCAGTTACAGGTTTGGATTTTGTATTATTATATTCATATATTTTTATGATTTATAACTTTTCACTTGAAATAATAATATTAAAGAAAAAAACAACTACCAAACTATAACAGAAAGAAATATGTCTTTATAAAATCAAATTTATATTTAATGATTAAATATTATAAGTTTGATTAATATTATATAAAACAAGATTGATAAAAATATTTGTATTTATTGATTCTGGAAAAACTTTTGAATAAATATAATAAATAAATTTCAATTTTGCTATTTTAGGTAAGAAAAAAAAGTATATAAAGTTAATTATTAATAAAATGAAAAAGAAAAATTTATTAACAGATATTATAGATAATGTTTTGGATAAAACAAAAATAAATAACATTTTGCTATAATTAAAATTTTAATTTCTTTTAGTAAAGATTATAAAGTTTTTATAACTAAATATAAATTTATATGTTTTGACTATAATTGTTTGAACTTGAAACAAAAGGCAATAAAAGTTTATATGAATTTATTTTACAGTAAGATAGATAATAATCTATTCCATTCTTTCTATGCCATATTGCTGGAGCTGTTACTTCAACAGGTCAGTTCAATATTAAGTTTGTTGCAAAATATATACTAAAAAAAGAATATAGAATTCAATATGGTAATATTGATTTATTATATTTTATTTGTCTCAAAAATAATTATAAGAAATATGATTTGGCTTATAGAAACAATTCAATTTCAATACTAGAGTATTGGACTGAAATTGTTAATATTATTATGAAAATAATGGAGAATTGTGCAATGAAGTGAATACCTATCTTAAGATAAAAAGTAGATCAACTTATCTCAAAATGGCTTATGAGGAGGTATTATTTTCTGTTGTCTTTACCAGTAAAAAGAAATATTTTAGAATACCACATAAACTTTAAGCCAAAAAAGTTATTTATTAAAGAAATTGATATTGTGAAGCAGGGACAATCAAAACTCTTTATAACTATTGGTGAACGAATTATGGAAAGCTATAGAAGTCAAGAATGACCAATCATTCCATAAAATTATTGAAGATGTTCTCAGAGACGTCTTAACAATTCTAAACTATGGGAGTTTGACTAGTTTATCCAAACTGATACGTGGAAACCCAATGTTCAAAATTTAACTGTTCAGTGGTTTATAGAGTGAATGAAAAAAACCTATAAAGATAAGATTCCTGAATCGGGTGAGTGTTTCAGTTATATAATACCAAAATTGATATAGATTTTGATTATTTGGTAAAAAGTTAAATCTAACCAGGGCAACTGAATAGAATTTGTTGATGTGAAAAATGAACTTGAAAAGGAGATAGACTTATCATATTATCTCCAAAATAAAATTATTGGCCTTTGTGCCAGATTTATCAACTATGACAACCACTACCCTCTGATAAGATCCAGCAACTCAAAGACTCAGATGAGAAATATAAACAAATTGATGAGTATTCTCAGAAAAAAGCCAAGAAATGGCTCAAGGGATTTGTAGATAGCCTGAGTGGTATTAGTCTAAAATGATTCTTAATCGTGGATATGCTTACAAACGTGCTTATAAGAATGCAATCAAAACCATACAATCTATATTATATCAGAAGATAGGTAATACAGTACCTACGAGATATTTCATGGGGAATGGCGCTATTTTGAGGATTTTAAAACAACTAATACTGTTGAAAGATTATGGGAAAGGTTCATAGAGTATGGGAGGCAACCCGATATCATGTTTGTATTAAAATATTTAGAGGTCTTCTTTGAGCTTCTATACGTAGAATGTTCACGATTATACTGCACTCAGCAGAAAAAGAAGAATGATGAGATAAAGTTATGGCGCGAGACAAATGATGGTATGTATTATGTTCGCAAAGTTCTTAAACCAGACAAAGATCAATTTGGAGTAGTCGGAGTGCAAATATGTTACATCTGAACGTTCTTGTCAGGGATAGAGCTAATGTAAATCGACATTACCATTTACAATCTGCCGAAATTCCTGTACAATTATCTGATGCAAACGTCGTAGCTAAATTTATAGAAAACCTTTTACGTAACATATTAATTATAAATGTATCCCTGATATATCATGCGTCTATCTCCACATCGCAAAGACAAATAGAAGATAGTACTATAGTTTATACGAGATGATAACTAGACTTCGTTATATGTACTTTTTTTTATCTTGTATTTATATTTATCACAATAAAGATAGCCCTGGTGATTAAACTATCTTATACTTTATTATTCGCACATCGTTAGTGATGATGTTTTGATTGGACGATCGACACATATACAATCAAAGTATACGCTATCGATTCAGTATTTATTTTTTTCGTCACATGCTGGAAAATTAGCGCCTTGTGTTTGCTCCGCTAAATCATATGTACGATGTTTGTAGACCCGAAGGGTCATTGCTTTGCAATAGTACATATATTAGGACCCACGAAAAGTTCATGCAATGATGGAAACCGAATTTTTTTTACTCTCATCACTTAATTTTTGTAAGATTTTCATCAGATCTGAGAAAACTGTAAAAGTCACTAGAATCACTGTCAATTTACGCCTGCTATTACGTCTTCTCCAGGTACAAAAACAATTTATGGAGATTAGCAAGTGTTTCCTTCATAGAGGCCGTATTTATTATATTTAATCTTCGTTATGATGATAAGACAATATACATTCAGCACGAATTCTCTATTTCGATCAAATTCATTGAAAGCAATGGCATCTCTATATTTCAAGGCTATAAGCTTCTCATAAAGACAACTTAACACTATCATCTTCGTAATGCACGACTATATGCACGTTGTATATCCCATAAATCTATGAAGAAATCATTAGGTGTTCCATTTGGTACGCCAGTAGGAACATCGTCAAAAAGTAAGTTGGTAGGAATAGCGAGTTGATAGTCCGGCAAATTAGGACCATCGCAAGCAACTTGTCCACATCCGACGCCAGTAAGACTGTTAGCCGGAAAATTCGGAATATTCAAAAGAAACCTTGTTGTGGAGATATGAAGATTTGCAGTCCCAAAGGACTTTGCGATACAAGGTACAGTTGGATTCGGTTGGTCACGTCTGTAAAACAATGCGAGCAATGCAAAGGTCCGATCCAGACGACGGGGAAAGAGCTTGATGGCCAGATACATTTGAATATTGGTGCGTGGAGAAAAATATCCTGTTGCCAGCTCATGCAAACTGTTTAGGCTTTCTGTGCTACCAATTTCTATGACCATAGTTGGGTATGGGTCACCCGTTGCATTGACTGCCCGCCTTTGTGGAGGTTGTCGACGTTCTTGCGGTTGAATACAAGCATCTGGACGATATACATCTCTCGTGTTCACAGTGATATCAGTTTCTATTTTGTTGTTTGATTTGAAATATATATATGTTTGTATTATAGCTGATCATTTGAAAAGGATAAGCTGAATTGGATTTTTTTGAGACAAATAAAAATTTTTTGCAATATATAAAATTTATAGTAATAAGTATTATATATATTTTGTTTTGTTTTTTCTCTTTATTTAAAATTTGAAAAGAAAATTTTGATGTTTTTTAATTTTGTTCTAATATATAGGATTATTTGATTTATCAGATATGATCTGACTAGAGCAAAGTCTTATTGATATCTAAGAAAATACTTAATCTGATATATAACTGGCTAATAACATTATAAGATTGATCTTATTGTGAATTGTTTATCTTACTTTTTATCTTTTTTTTTATAAAATTTTGTTTGTTTTTTTAGTATAAAACAAATTAAAAGAACAAAAAATAAGTTTGATTAATTTAAAGTAGCAATTATCTATTTTATTTTTAAGAAAATATTGGTTATTGATTTTTCTTAATATTTTCTGACTTTTTATAAGTTGGATAGATATTTTGAATTTTTTTTGAAATTTTTCAAAAATAAAATTTTTATAATTTTTGATGATTGTTAAAAAAAGTTTTTATTAATTAACAATTATTATTTTTTCAATATTATAATATTAATGTTTATTGAATTAGTATAAAAAATAATATATGTTATAATATATTATAGTATTAAATATTATATTAAATTAATTCAATTGCTTTATCTTAGAATTAATATAGATTTATAGATATATTATATATTATTATTTTATTTATTTATTATTCACTAACATAAATCTTTATTTAATTTTTATTATAAAAATTTATAAGAAATTATAAAAATATATATACTTATAAATTCAATCAATAATGTTTTTTTAAAAAAATTAACTTATTAAAATTAACTAGATAATATAAAAATAACTTTATTTAGATTTAAAACTCAAATTATATATTATTTTTTTAGATATTTAAAAAAGAATATAAAAAAAAAATTATTAATTTATTAAAATCTATTTAATAGTTTATTATATACAGTATATAATAAAATTATATTTTTAATTTTTAAAATTAATATGATTTTTTATAATATAATATCTATGTTTTAATTAAATAAGAAATTATAATTAATAATGATTTGTGAGTTAATAGCACAGTAAATAATGTTTTCAGATCTTTAAATGCATGTTTTTAGTTTAATATTTATAGAAAACAAATACATAAAATTATTTTTTATTTATGGATTTATCAGTTTTTTTACAATTGTTATACTTAAATATCCAGATTCGGATCAAATTTAATTAGGTTACATAAAGATGAAATTTTTGGTCTTTTTAATAATCATGGGTTGAAATAACAAGTCAAAGCAGAAAAGGTTGCATAAGGAAAGGCTTATGGTTTAACTCTAATAAAAATTTATAAATCATATCCTTGGCACAACAAATTTTATAATACAATTTCAATTAAAAATATAAACCTTTAACTGATCTATTATAATCTGATACTTTGAGATTTATTCCAATGTTAGTGTTATATGAGCTTAAAAATATGGATCAAATAAAACAAAATTATCAGTTACAGATAGTAAGAAGAATAGGTAAAAATCATTAAGTTAAGTATCCTATTGAGAATCAAAACAAGACTAATCAAAAATCAAGCAAGGATACCATGGCCACAGGTGGTAAGAATGATAGCTAAATTATTTTATAAATACAAATTAAAAAGTGTAGAATTAAATATATTGTTATAATAAAGTGTCACTATAAGAAATTTATCTTGTGAAATTAACAAAGTATCAGTTAAAACTATATTATATACTGCCACCAATTGTAATATTATAGGCAGGGGTTTAGTAGATGTACTAGGCTTAGAGATTGATACTTCCCATAAAGAAGAAGCAAAACTATTAATCTCTTTTCCATCTGAAAGATCGCCGAATAATTTAGATGCAATATCATCCTCACATTGTGAGACTATAGAAGATAGCATACCAATATTGGGAATGGATCATAAAATAAACCCCTCTTTCCGGTCTAAAGATAATAAATGGAAACAGGTAGAAGTTAACGGTATTTTAGTTCCTAATAAACCCGAATTTGCACATGTCCTGTTATTAGGTTCACCATGGATTCAGGCAAATATATCTGAAATGAATTTTCTCAATCATACTCTCACATTGCTTAATGGAACCGATGTATTATTGGAAATTCCACGAAAGTTCCTGCCACCCAAACAAATATCCCTA